TTCGAACCGTCGAAGAGCGAATTAATATACTTTATATAAAGGAGATAAGCGATAACGACGCCGGTCCGCCTCGGGGCCGACGTGGTAACCCCGGTCTAAGAGGCCCGCCTACTAGGGGTTTAGGTGCACCGGAAACTACGCTAGAAGGCGCACCTAAAATAACTCCGAGCGAAGTTAAAGCGCTAGACTATAGCCCTAACCGGGCTCGCGGCGTCTACGTAGGGCTACACCCTACTACGCGCTAGGGAAGTCTATAGTAAGGTAATCCGGTCCTTAATCTCCTACGCTATGGTTATATTCTACGAGATAACGCCTATAGGGGGGAAACTACGCGGAATCGCGCGGGACCTTACCCGGGACTAGTTAGCCTGCCTCCGGGTAGTAACGGGTGCCTACCGCGCGACCCTAGTCTACTAAGTTAAAGCGGAGGCGTAGGTGCCCCTAATCGACCTCTACCTAAACTAAAGAATAACGGATACCCTCTAGAGGCTAGAAGACTTAGGGCTCCTAGGCTAAATCCGACGCGCGTCTAACGCGGTCGCGGGTATACTTAAGAGGAGGCGATGCTAGAGAGAGGGCAGACCCCCGGCGGCACTACCTCCGGGTAGACCCCCCCTCGCGGAGGAGATAAGGGGGGTCTAGAGCTAGATAGGAACGGACGACCTCCCGGATAAAGCTAAGTTGCTCGAAAGGCTAAATAAGGAATAGGCCGCCCGATAGAACGCTAGGGAAGACGCGATCCGATAATACTAGACCACCCTTTACCCCGCCGACTTCCCGCCTCGGTTTAATAAGGCGATAACGCTAGACCGTTACGAGGGCCTCCCTAAGTATATTAGTACGGCAATTACCTAGATATATATAGGAAAGATCGGGCTTAACGACTTCCTCTTCGACCGATAGGTCCCCGGCGTGGTTTCGCTAATATATACCTACGGACAAAGATAAGATACTATCTACTATACGATAATCGACTATCTATTAATAGTAGAGGCGAGGGAGTCCCTCCTAATATAGGCCCGGGACGTAGGTAACGTAAGAGCGGGCCTCTAAGGGAAAAGGACTATAGCGCCGCTAGCGCAATAGTTCCTCCGCTTAGGCAGGCTCCGCTAGTTCGACCTAGCTCGGAGGCTATACGTAGATATACCGGATAATAGAACCGGGGTCGCGCTAGGGACGGAGCGGCCCCGACTAGGACCACCCTAGCTAACTACCTCCCCTACTAAGGCGACCTAGAAAGGGAGAGGACTTACGATTATAGGACTATAGCTTCGACTAAACCTAACCTAGACTAGGCGTAAACCTCGCTAATTAAACTATAGACCGAATAGAACTAATATAACCTAACCGAACCGACCTTAATAGCTATAGAATAAGACCTACTACTAAAAGACCGTAACCGAATAAAACCTAACCTAGAACCGAACTAAGACGGAGCCGATAACTAGCCCCCCCCTAAACCACGACCTTAGCCTAGCTCGTCGGTAGCAACGTCCGCCTCGTTATCGCGGCGGGAATAACGAGACCCCCCTAGGGTAGTACGCGGAGCACGGGAGGGAGTAACCTAAGGCTTACGAGGAGTGCGGGGACCACTACCGCTACGAGAACCCTAACAACGACTAAATAGACCCGACCCTAAACCTAAACCGGAGCTAGCCTAGACGGCTAGCTTACGAGATAGAGTAACGACTAGGGTCTCTACTAAGGTAGGACCTATACCGGCGGCGGTACGGAGGCGTTCGCCACGGCCTATACTATAACTATAGATCTAATCGAGGTTAAGACTAGTAATAATCTCGGCTAGGACCGAACCGCGACGGCTATAAAGACGCTACTAGACGAAGTCGGGAGCGTTAGTAGGATCGGTAAGCGACGTAAGACGGGGACGCTTTAGGGCGGGCTCGGCGCTAAGAGAACTGCTAGGCTACGGCTCGGCGTTAGAGGGAGACGCGGTTAGCTCCTAAGCCGGCTCCGCGACGGCCGCGGGTATAGACACCTTAGCCTTAGCCTTAGATAGGGCCTTAGACGCGGCTACCGCCTTACCCTTGCCTTTGCCCTTCCCCTTATCGACGGGGATTAGGGCTAGAATAGGCCTAGTAAGACTAGTAAGATTAAAGCCGCTATCCTCCGCGTCGGGGCCGTCGCTAGCAATAGGATAGAAATAGTTAGCGAGATTATTAACCGCTATAAGAGTCTTCCGGGCGACTAAGAGCGACTTAGGCCCGACCTAGGCTAGGGTCTTAATAGCGTCGCTAAACTTACCTAGGTACTTCTCTAGGGACTCGTATATATAGCGGGTATCGTCTACGAAACGGGTAAAGGCCGACGCGAGCGTCTCTATATTCTTAGCGACTATAGCCGGACCGGGGGCAAACTCGCCCGACGCGCCCTTACCCTTAGCGGCGGGGGCCTTCTAACTAGCGCGAACACGAGTTTCTAGAGCAGCACGATAAAGGCGCTCCTATACTAAACCCTTAATAAGGGAAGGGCTATCGACCTCGGACTATACCTAGTAGAGGGCACTAGCGGCCTCCTCGCTTTCGGAGGTAATCTAGAACTCGGATTAGCACTAAACTCGGATAGCACTATAGCGGGAAGGGGTTACTTACTCGGTAATAAGACTAGTTAGAGTTAGCGTAAGCGATATACGCTTTAGCCTTTACGGCTATTAAAGTTAGTAAAAATACTAAAGGTAAGACCGACCTAAGATAAAGCCGGGATTAATACGTATAAGACTAGTTCTAATAGCCGGCGAAGGACTCGTAGGTAAGCTTACTAGTAAGACGCCCGATACACGTAAAACATAGGATAGAGCGCTCCGATCCCGCTACTATAGCGACTTTCTTACGAGGAGGGGGTTTTAGAGGAGGCGAGCCGCTACTACCCGAGTTAGCTTCCTAGTTAGACATTGCGACGCGACGACGAGCGAACTAGATACGGTGTTAAGGAGACCTAGAGTTATAGAAACGAGGCGGGCGAGGTAGTAGCTAGGCCTATAAAAGAGATAGATAATAGAGGGATAGGAGGAGGCACGTACGGAACCGGGGGGGGAGGGCAGGTATATATAGGCGCGAGCTAGGCGCGCGTAATTAGTAACTACGAGATAGAGGGTAAATATAGGCCGCCGCGCCCCCGATCGGGAAGTCGCGTGGCCGGACGGGAACCGATTTACGATTAGCGGAGCCGGCCGACCGAATTTCGATTAGCCGGCCCTACCTAGGAGCGACCTATACTAGCGCCCGGCCCGGCAACCGGACATTACCTGCCCTACTAACTAACGGACCGATAAGCCGACGCAACCGCGGCCACGCGGCTGCGACGCGGGAGCCAGGGTAAATAGAGGCGCCCGCGAGTCGGGCCCCCGGAGAGAGACTACTACCCATAACCCTAGGCCCGGGCTAGCGAGCCCGGGCCGCGGCCGCTCGGGATAGTAGCGGCCACGGCCCGAGAGGGCCCGCGCCGAGACGCGATTTCGCAGGAGTAGCCCGCGGTAGCCGGCGCAAATTTCCTACGTACTACTACCACGACCTCGTTCGAGGCGGACCCGCACTAAAAGAGGGGAGGGTTTTCCCCTAGGCACTCTGGTTTTTCCCTCTTATTTAACATTAAAGTTCTAGATACCTCTAGCTAGGTCCCTAGCGTAATCTTAATAATAATAATATAGTCGGTACGATAGTTCTAACTAGCCTTAGTATAATATATAAAGCTAAGAAATCTTATAAGGCGGGCAATTAAGGAGTAAGGACGCTATTAAATATAACTATAACCTATTACCTAGCGGATAAAAGCTAATATAGAGATTTACCTTACTTAGCCTAGCTTAGATTATAAGTAGGAAAACTTATTATAATCGCTATTATAAAATAATTAGCGTTATTATTAAAGGCAAAATTACTTCTATTTATTTATAAGCTTGCTATTATTGCTAGACTAGCTCTAGCGAGTCTAGTAATAGATATAAAATCGGGCTTAAAGCTAGAGAAACGGGTGAGTAATATGGTTAACGATGTTCCTTGTCTGCTGGCAGCGTGCTGATAGGCTTAGCGACTTTAGGATGTAAGTGTTTATCGCGCGACTGGCGACGTTGACTGCTGGCAGTGCTTCCACTTGATAGCGCCGCTCAAAGAGGGTTGGGGGTGGTATGAGCTCTCTAGAACTTCACCGCCTTTCGCAGCAGCTCCCAGTGCAGTCCCAATCGCTTTCACTGCCATAGCGGTTGTTACTCCCCGGTTCCCAATTTTAACAGGCACGCTCCCATACTTTAAAGTCCAGCAGAGTTCCCAACCTCCGTCGATCTGCTGTGTCTCGAGCAAAGTAGCTAAATCGGCGGTATTGCTCAGGAATAGGGACTGGGAAGCAAGTACCCTCATTGCAGCTCCCATCACATCTTTGTCAATCCCCATACGCTGTTTAAGCCGCGCTACGACCAAATCCCGCAGTCTATTTAGTTCCGGGTCTTGGACTTTCGCACAGAGATCAGCCAGATAGTAAAAGATCCAGTCGGGTTGGCAGTAATATCTCGAGCCGATCTCGTAAGCTTTTGTTTCCAAAACGTGTTGCAAATACTGAACTGCGTTATGCAGTCTGTAGCCTTGCCCATTCAAAAAGAAGAAACGTAGTACGTTGGCACAGACAAAGGGGCATATTCGAGGCCGCATAGGGTCAAGGTAGACCTGATACCGATGGGTCAGCTTCTTGAAGATATTGACGATCGCACGCTGAATCAGGCAAGATGAGGCAGATTACCATCGGAAGGCCATCCGGATTCATATTCACGGCAATTTCCTCCATGGCTATCTTCTTCTGGTCATCTGTAACATCTAAAGTAACAAGAGCGAGTGAGGTTGTGTCGGCGTCTTTGGGAAACAAGTCGTCTGTGAAGAAATGTTGGCCGATGAAATAATGCCAAGTACATCCTTCATTTTTTAGGTCCACGAGATCTCTAAATCTATCATCAACATGAATGCACAGTTGCACTTCCTCGGGTATATTTGGATTTCCTACCTGTCTCCGATACACTGGAGAATCAACAACTGAGAAAAGTTGTCCTTGATAGTTATGCCTTTGTCGGTTTCGCAGAACAAGTTTTTGGACCTCTTCTTTAAAAATTTCATGCCCCGTGAAACAGGATCGCCAACGAGATTATGAATGCGTTTGATAGCAGTGGCTGTATCATCAAACAAAAAACCTTGAATCCCGAAGAGAAAAGCCGTCACGACATTCTCTGGGGTATCATCGACGAAAATAGCAGCACTAGGAGAAATTTCGGCACATTCTAGGACGCGTCTAAACGAGTCGAATTCGGGCTTTCGGTGGCCAATGCTTCCTGACCCGATAACATTGTCGAAAAGTTCCCAGGTATCGATGGTGTGCTTTAGGCGGTTCATGTCTGGAGCGGAAATGTTACTGAACGCGTGAACACGTAATGATGGATACTTCTTCTTTAAGTCTTTAATGGCCATGATGAAGTCCGTGTTTGGCCTCAGAGTCGACCATAACTGACGCATTGTATCGGCCCATGCTCCTGGGGCGAGGCCGAATTCCTTAGTAACGCAATCATAGCACTCCTCTTCCGTGATCTCTCCTCTCTCGTATCGATGCCATAGCAGTGAGTTGAAGATGGTTTTTACCGTGCGCGGGGGGACAATAGCTCGTTCAGGTAGAGAATAAAACATCAAAACTCCGCCAAGGTCTAGGATCAAGTCCGTGAAGCGAGATGGAGATTCTGTTCCCATATTAAAGAAAATCAGACGAGAGTTTTTGTGACGACTAAGGTAGAGCAAGGGGGTGCGTAGGCGACTAATGATTCTGTCAGTCAAACAATCTTGCACCACATAAATGGCAGTTATGAGAATATCTAAAGAAACGAGTGCTTATGCATGGAGCTGCATGGCTCTTTATACCTACACAAATACAAAGCTGGAGGCTACCGCCTACATGCTTCTGCCCCACATGCAGCATTCGTCGTATCTTCGTGGGCGGGCAAAGAATGCACACTCCAACAAGTGCGCTGCAACTGACGACTATCTGACGACCGTGTACCGTGTCTTTCCGACACCTCCCGCCTTTTGCCAAGTGGCCCAGATTCATAAGGTATGTTGCACTATGCAGACAGGAAAAAGCGGATCGGCCTCGAAAGGGCGCTACGCAAGTGGACGTTATGTCTGTATGGATGGTGTGTGACAAGGTTGGTTAGGACGCAGCACACGTCTCACGCAGGATGAGCAAAGAAGGCAACCTAAAAACCCTAAAAACCCCTTTTCACTCCCTCCTTAGATTTTAACCACTTACTCTAGCCCTCAACTACTTTACTATCCACCCTGGAGTCTTCTCTTCCTTACCTTCTTTTCTTCCCCCTTCCTGTCTAGACTTAGCTAGCCAGTTGTCACAATACGAAGACGTGCAGGGATGGATATGTGTATTAAGCGGAGGCGTAATGTAGCTATTCCGAGCCCGCACTTTGGGGCGCGGGACCGCATTGTGAAAGGCTGGCCCGGAGTTTATTCAACAAGCAGGTGCCTAGATGTTGTCTATCTAGAGCTAAGGAGGAAAAGAAGCTGAACTCGAGGCGTAGCCTCGAGTGCGAGCTTATATTGCCCTTCTCGGAATGTTCTCGCAGCTTCTGGGTCCGCGGAGCGGGGCCGGTGTTGCCACCGGAGCACGACCCACCGGACCCGGTACAACCGGGTCCACCAGCCGGGCACAGCCCGTGACACGCATTAGGAAAACGGTGGCTGGGATTAGCCTTGACTAAGGGAAATATTCTTCAGTCACATTTGTATGTAGAATTGTTTCTACAGCTAACTGGCTTCGGTATCTACAAAAGGTCCAGGCTACACCCTTTCTAGATGGAGGTGGAGAGTGTTTTACGCGCACCAAGACTCCAATGCATGCATCCACATAACCGTGACAGATAGCGAGGATGGCAGGAGATTCAGACGTGGTGGTTTGAAGTCTCCTTGTTTGCAAGCCTAAAGCTTGCAAGAGGAGAAACACACATTGGCCCAAATACCGGGAGCCAATAGATCCACGGGTCCGTACAATTCGTCAGCAACGTCCACTGTAAATTTCTTGCGGCGCTGCTGCGGCGCTGCTATCTACGGGCTGCTACTATTCTTCATAGGACAACACTTGCGCCTCCTCTATGGCCCTCTCTATGGCATTTGCTACATATCGGCAACTTCTTTCAAAGCGGCTGGTCCGCTGGCTGGTCCGCCGGTTGGTCTGCTGGCTGGTCTTGCGGCGGGCTTGTCTCTTAGCTCGTCCGATTCGTTTTCTGGTAGGTCTGACGGTTCGTGATTATGTTAAGAAAATCGGGCATCAATACGGTGTTTAAGATGCTAAAGGCCAGACTGTTCTTCCTTGGCTAATATGGAGAATTGGCAGCCAGGACGGAAGCAATTGCAAGCATATATAGTTGTCATCCGACTAGCTTTATCGAGAGTTAACCTTCGGATAATAAATTTATAGCCTCTAGAAAATAACCATACGTCAATGACCAAGCGTACTTCTTCGTGCGATTGATAGTATCTTTGAGGCGGAAGGCTGCAACTGCATTGAATGGCAAGAGGCGGTGAGCGCCGTAATTAGCGCCGAGGGAAGAAATTTGTAGTGGACTTTGCTGATTCATCGAGGGACCCGCGAGTGTACGGACTATCTTTTAGCGTAATCGAATTACCCCCTACCTGTGCAGACCTTCTCCACCCGCACCTTTTGACGACGACAAATAATGTCTGCGACACCAAGCCAATCAATTCCGCGCGAAGAACGGGTCCTGCGCGCCGTGCATGCCTACCAACAGGGCCAATTTATAAGCATCTGGAAGACTGCTATTGCGTACGACATCTCTCCATCGACGATATCTGATCGACTACGAGGTGTACTACCCCGGCGCGACGCTTGGATGAACAACCAGAAACTTATGGCGACGGAAGAGACGGCTCTTATATAATGGATATTGTTACTAGACGAACGAGGGATGCCGCCGACCGTGGCATATACTCGCCGGATAGCCAATTTACTACTTTACTCTAAGCGAGGCAAAGATCCTATCGGCGAAAACTAGGTGCGGAATTTCGTTGGCCGCCACGGCGAAATCAAGGCGAAGTGCTCTCGCTGATACGATTATCAACATGCCAAGTAGGAGTACCTATAAGAGATCTAATATTAGTACGATCGAGTGGCAGCGATAAAGTAGAAATAGGGGATCCTCGACGAGGACGTCTATAACTTTGATAAGACGGGCTTTCAAATAGGAGTCATTGCAACGGCAAGAGTCCTTACTCGGTCTAACCGGCGAGGTCGGCCTAAACCTACGTAGCCTGGAAATCGCGAATGGGTAACTGACTCACAGTCCAAGCTGGCTTAAACACTGCGATCATCACTCGGTAAAACGGACGGTTGGATCGAAGGGACTGCTGTTGATGGATGAGTACAGTTCGCACACGACAAGGGGGTTCGTACAATACTGCCATGATCACGAGATTATCCCGTTTGGCTATCCACCGCATTCGACACATCTTGTCTAGCCGTTGGACGTCGTGGTCTTTCGACCATGCCAACATTACCACGCCAAGCCCTTGGACCTCGTAGTACGAGATGGAGTTTACCAAGCTTGAATCCGGCTTTAACTCAAGGCGTTCGCGCCCAGTCATTCCGCGAGACGACTACAAAAGCCGCTTTTCGAGAGACAGGAATCATTCCGCTCAATCTACTCAAGGTCCTTGACAAAGTCACCCATCCACGACAGCTCCGCCGCCTAATCCTCCTCCAAACGTATACACCGGTCACATTACGGGAGCTGAATGGTCCTTACCGATTCACTAAAGCCTTCTGGTATCCTTGATAATAAGGTAGAACAGACTTCCCTGTCGAACTTCTTTGTAGCCACTGATGTGAGCTTTAGCAAATCATCCTGTGAGTCACAGCAGTGCGACTCTTCCGTCCAATGGCATGTATCTGCCCGGTTAACTCATGCGACATCCTCCTCTTTCGGAACTGTGATCTACTAGTGCTTGGTGATGCCTGCGAGCCGCCCTTGAGAGGGAATGCCTAGCGGTTGGCGCTAATCTTTGGCCAAGGTTCGGAATTGATCGAATCGACCGATTCCAGAGCCTTTATCGATCGATATACAACGATCATAACCTTCGGTCAATCGATATTAATCGATCGTAAGTCGAAATCGATTCGATCGACGATCGATTCGATCACTAGTGGATCCCGCCCGCCAGTTGAAGAACTTATCTCCAATTATCCACTTTAAGGAGTGCCAGAGGAAGAGTTGACTCATATATGCCGGCCTGGCTCCATGAACGAAGGCACTGAGCTATAGCCACTATATGACGCCGTAGGCGAGATCTGAGTGGTATTATTATCCTACTGCAGGTGCTGTAATCTCTTTCCGTTTCGGCGGTGGATGACGCTATAGTGAGAAAGTCAATAGCTAAATAAAATAGCCGATGAAAACGCATAACGCCAACGTCTCTCTACTAAGCAATAGGGTCAGCTTTATATAGAGTGTTGTCTACTGGTGGTTTTAATAGGTTTTGATCAAGCTCTTCCTGTGTTGGCAATGGGGGTCGTTCATTTTGTCGTCCTTAGGAGATATGATAGAGTAATGATCGAATAAATGCTAATCGGCGCTTAATATAGTCTAAGACCCTATTGCTCCTAGATGCTGAAACGGCATTCCAGGCCACCTTATGAGTTATTTTCCTTGTACCTTTCTCCCCCGGAGTCTCTCCAGGTTTCCCTTATAAGTCTTGTTCCATTCTAAGGTCTAGCGAGATAGCAACTGCTTCCAAATCTGCTCTAGAGCTCGCCGTTTCTTGCACGGGTGGAAAACAATCGCCGTTACGTAAGTGGTTAAGGTCAGCTTGTCATAGTAGCCGTTTAGCTTTTTTCATCCGAGTTTAATGTAAATCTTTATAAGTTTTTAGGTCTTCGCATCCTTAAAATTGAACAGGCGGACCTCTTTTATTGTCTGGTTGTCATTCTCTTCGATTATTACCCATTAAACGGCCAGCTTAAGGTAATCAAGAAATATCTCGACCACCTGGAAATATTCATCGAACCCTCCTAAGACGAGCGTTTACCAGGAATGGCCTCGCCTTGCAATTGCTTCGAGGCGATCCTGAATGGCTGAAGATGTAACGGGCTAGGCCTGTGGAAGCCTCGGTTACGCACTCGACAACTGGTCAGCCCCCAACTACGGTGGGCGATAGGGGTCACTGTTGCAAAACTCCCTGTCATTTTCTTTTGGGTTTAGGCGCCCAGCCCCCTGGTCATCCGGATACTTCAGGTCAGCATGAGAGTATGTACTGCGGACTAGCAGCGGGCCCGCACGGTCATCCCTCTGCCAGTCTAATTGCCAGTTTGCCGCACCAGTCGTAAAATGGTATCCGGCTCGCAAACCACTTACACACGTATGGATGCGCATGATGCTGTACCCAAAATTCGTTCCTGAAAAGCTGATCGATATTTTTCCAAGTGAAATCGAGCGAGCGGCGCGGTGTTTTCGCCAACAACTTTACTTTGGTATTGTCGCGGCCCGAAGACAGCGACAATACCAAAGACAAAGACGGCGAATATCGCCAAGTCCCCTCCCCTGGATGACGCTGGGAACTTGTGAAAGCCGGGCCCCTACAGACAAAGAATGCAAATACACACGAGAGTTTGAGGTCTTCTGCTATACGGTGCCGAGTTGAAACTTTGGACTTTAATGTTTCCACTTCCCCTCCTGGCCACCACAGCTGTGTTCAGTTTTCATCCTAACGTTCATAGGAGTAACTGGGACGAGGAGCGGCGCCATGAGGCAGCAGAGGATTACCGCAGTAATCCCGCTACTGGTCAGCACCGGACTAGCGTTGAAGTCTCTTGCTAAGCCTGGCGATCTTCATTCGCCATGGCAAGGGGATATTGTTCTGTAACTATTCTGCTTATATTAAAATCCCGTTTCCGAGTCCGATCCTATTTGTCCTCCTTTTCCCCTGGTTCTACCTCTTCTCCTCAACCGAAATGGGCCCTCCACAGATTCCCCCTGAGCATGTCTACTGCGTCCAAGCCGGACAGAAGCACTATGACCTCTTCACTACCATATACGTTGGCGCGAACTATTGCGGCCGTTGCGGCTTGGCCAACCCCTTTCGGCCGCAGCGTCGGGCCAGGTCTAAAACTCCGGCACTTCCTGGCCCATATGATGAGGTGGTCGAGGTCGAGGACTCTCCGCCACGGCCAGTCAGTCCAGCAAGTCAGCTGCTGCGTGACAGACTGAAACCAGTGTCATCCATCGGCGTTGGACACGCCGCCCAACTACTCCCCAATGAAGTTGCTGGTACCGGTGCGATGAATACACGGGCACGCATACCTCCCTTCGAGGCGTCAAGCAATCCCCAGTTCATGACCGTCGCATCAACGGCCAGTCGAGCCATTCAAAACTCCAAAGGCAGCACCAGGAAGCCTGCGAGGCAACGAACTGGCTACCAGTGGGTCCATGTAAGCCTGCTGCTTGTGAGTTTGGAGACCAGGTACTTCAACGGGCTTGCAGTGGAGGTTCCAGAGACGGTGCTGCCTCTGAAGGATACGGTGATCAAGTTTCCCTCGGCAGATCTACTGACTTGGCCCTCGTTCACCGAGACTTTATTCGATCACCTCCGTCCGCTTCCGCCCACGATCGATCCTGCCAATAAAGATCTCTGGAACCTTTCTTACGCTTCGACCTTCTCTGGCAAGAAAATCGTTACCGTTCCAAACACCGACAAGTACACGACACCGTCAAGCATGCTCGCATCGGGGCACTTTTCGAACAACCAAGCAGGGCAGTTGAAGGTGCTAGTCGTTCTGACATCCACGGATGTGGTTGATAAGCAGGAGCCGGTCACACCGTTGAGGCCAGATCAATGCTCGACGCCAGTCAAGGAAGACAAGAAACGGAGGGTCAAGCAAGAAGACATAAGCCCAGCCTCTAGACGCAAGAAGCGCGTTAAGCAAGAGGAGCAAGTCAAGGAAGAGATACGCGTCAAGATTAAGCACGAAGAGCCCGTTTCAACTTCATCCTGCCAGAGCCCGACACGCGACGAGCTTGGATATACTGCCAAAGAAATTGTTGGACATGGGGATGCGGTAGGCCTTGGTGAGCTGGAAGATCCACTATGCGATTTAGTGTTTGGCAGTGACCCTAGTGGAAAGGTGTATAAAGGCGTGGTGGCCGAAGGAGTCGAAGTGGACGAAGAAGATAGAGAGGAGGAGACCAGTTTTGTTCCGGAGTTCGTAAGAAACCGAACCAACTCATCAACGAGCCGAGCGCTAACTTCAACAGGTAAACCCGGAGTCAATTTCCCAAGCCTTCAGGGAAACTCAAACTCGACTGTCCGACACTAACGCTGCTAAAGCGCTTCCTCCAGCTCACTCTACACGCTTCAAGGGTGCAAAGATCCCTACAACGTTTGCTATTCGATATAGGAAAAGGAAGTATTGACTACTCAGGCTCCCCATTCGAACCATCGCTATCCTCCCCGTCATCACTTACCGGTATTTTCTCCATGTCGCTTCCCTGCTCGTCCTCAAACCCAAGCTCAACAAGTGGCTGCTCTGCTGGTTCCCCATCTCCAAATTCACCTTCTCGGGCTTGGTTTGCTTGCTCAAGTAATGCTTGCTATACGCGCTTAGATTGGTCGACTCGCAAATAAATAGTATGTCTTACATATTCAGCAACGCCTCCAGTTGGCGCTTTACGGTATGCCAGCGTAGGCTGTCGGCCACTTTCGATATGTTGAATTATCTTATCTCGAAGACCAAGGTAAAAACGCTTGAAAGGTCGCAACTTGTCCGGCTCCTGGTGAGTTCCAAGGACTACGTGATCGTAGCCCATTTCAAGGAGAACTTGGCGGCACCAGTTCTTTGTCTCCGGCTCCAAACTCGTGCTAATGTCAATATCAGCCAACGGCCGCTCCATTTCGTCTAGAATGGAGCGGTCAATCGGATACCCCAATTGCATGCCTTGTCTGGGTCGGGGTAATGGTAGTTCATCCAGGGCTGGCCGTGGACCACATGGGGACGGTTCTTTTGGAGGCGTATCCGATGAAGATTCCACGCCTCCACGAAGTCGAAGAGTTCTCGGCGTAGTAAGTCTTCGAAGACGGCGTAGATGGAAATCTGATCTTCCAGCATATCGCCGTCGAAGTCCCCGTCCCTGGCGAGTTCTCCAAAGTAGTCTACCCACTGCCGGGACGAGACATGCAGCATGCGCTCCCACCAACTCTCGATCTTAACGTTCTTCGTACTTGGAGCCGCCTTGTACGAATCCTTTAGTCGATTTCCTTGTTGGAAAACTTGCCCATGCCATTCCACTCGCCCGTCTGTTGCCAAGACAAAGTTCCAGTGTGCTGCTGCGACCAATGGCGTTTCGCTCCCCCTGTCTGCTTGCAAATACCATGGCCGAAAGCCGTAGGCGCCACACGCGGCCAAGTACTGCTTCAATACGCTCAAAGCAGTTGTAGCGGAGTGGCCAATATAAAACCAGATAATGTTGCGCGAGTATGCATCGATTGCTGCATATATCTCGAATCCATACGCCTTGAGCTTGTCGTGACCGTCAATGCACCACTGGTAGTTTGGTCCTGGGACAAGAAACTGTCCCTTCTTCCTCCGAAACATCCTTTTTCGGAGTTCGACCTCATTTGGGAACATGATTTTGTACATCGCAAAGAGGGGGTCTCTCGGGACCCAGAGCTGCTTTTGCTGACGAAGATAAGGCTGGAGAAGGCTTTGCCATATCCCGAAATGGCATTGGACCGTCGCGTCATCTCGATGATAACCTGTTCTGTCTTTTCCAGCAACACAAGGCGCTCCTCGTCACTATTGAGCCTGCGTACCCAGCGGCGGTCCGGGTGAAGTCTGATGCGCTTTAGACCTCGTTTCGTGATCGGCCAGCCTTGTCTTTGTAGCACGCTCAGCGTCTGCTTCTCGGTAAGCCCAACGCGAAATATCAGGTCACGGATGGTTTCTATCAGCTCTGGAGTTTCTTTGGTACGGGCTTGCTGGCGCGGGAGACCCCAGTTTGCGATTCGGCGAGAGAGTGTACTGAGATTGACGGCGACATGGTAATGCTTCCGAAGCTTATACTTAATCTTGCTTCGCGAGACACCGTTGAGGTATAGATGAGTGATATAGGTACGGTATTGATCGATTGGATTGGGCGGACGTGCCATTGTTGCCGGTAACGTCGAAGGGATGGTGATTTTCTTAGTCCTCATGCCAGGAAAAAGGGGGACAGCGATATAAATTGACTTACCGCGTTTTCCCGCAGCGGTGGTGCCGCTGGCCCGCAGCGGCTTAGTGCCAGGGGGCTGTTCGTGGAACGGTTACCAAACCAGGCACAGATCGACGCTGCTCACCCGCAAATATTTACAGAACCCAGATCCTCCAACCCTAGTTCCTACCTTTCCCTTCTGTATCATCATTGCCGTGGAAAGCCAATGGTCAGCAGCGTTGTCATGTCTACAGCAGATTCCGCTATCGTAAGTGAAACTGCAGTCGCTGGCCCGATGGATGGGGACTCGCCTAGCAGGAATAAAATAGTCAAGGGTAGAGGATTGGTCCGACCCAACGCCCGCAAATCCACGGCCAAGATTACCGTACAATCCAATAAGTTCTTCTATGAAGAAGAGGCGGCTGCTAACTTGCTCGCCCGAGCAGAAGAAGAAGCAGACAAAAAGGCCCTCCCGTCGGCTCGGTGCGAGACTTCCCATGCCGTCCTTGCGTCACACGCGCCACCAAGACTCCCGGCCATGAATGTGCCTCCCAGGACAGTACGTTGATTGTCCCCTGTAGTATACGTCTGCCTCACTAATTTGCCGGGATAGATACCGGTGCTGCGTGCTGGGACTGCGCAAAGAACGCTCACACGTGCAGGCCAGTATGAGACCTTTGTTTGCTCCAAAGAAGCGAGAAATTAATCGAGTTGAATGTTCTAGGTCCCTGCTGGGGCTGTTGCTGCCGTGCGTGCCTTTTGGGACGTGAATCGGCATCTCAAGCTTGCAGATGCCGAACCCGATGACACCTGGCGCATCGCTGCGCAGCGAGCAGCACAACAGCTACGTGCTTGCGGTGGTAGTGCGGCTCCTTCTACCGCTTCAGGACCAGCTCCGCTTTGGCCCCGAAGAGCGGAAGCTTATGGCGTTAGAAACCATCGCTGAGGCTGCTCGGCTCTGGATTGTGAGCGAACTGAAGTTGTGAGTTGCATTTCGGCTGCTAACTGAATATAGCAGCTTAACAAGCCGGAGGATGAGGACGAGGAGAATGTATAGATAGAATAAGGGAACACATTAAAGCGTTGGAATTACCGTGCGGTATTTTCGCCATAGGCGACTGATATGTTTGTGACGAGAGACGCGCTGCTGGTCCGCAGCGGCCCCGTAGCTGTGACTACACCTGCCGTAACGCCAAATTTTCCAACGAAGTTGGGCCGAGATACATAGACCAATGTACCGTGGGGCGGGCCGTTCATGCCGCTAACCCATTTTGACTCTCGCGCGGTGACTTTTTGGGTTTTGCAACAGTGACCCCTATAGCCTGCCGTACCCAACCCCTGCCTGACCCCTGTCAGGGGCAGCAAGGTGATTGTACGACGGCAGCTCTCTTCGTTCTTTCCTTCCGTTCTCTCTAGCTTTAGAATATTCGTTACACCCGGGTAGCTTGTTGTAATTAAACCTACTGAACCGTTAAATAAGCTGTAGCTAACTGTATTTAGCCTTAAGTTATATATAGTTATGTATATTAATTATACATCTCGTATATGCATGTGTAATATATGTGTCTATGCTATACCTTTATAGTATATTGTTTCTAAATATATATTACTTAAAATAATATATACATAGAATAATATATATAGAATATTCTTATAGTTTATAGGCACCTAGACTCGAATGCATGCATCCACATAACTGTGACAGTATGCCATGTTCAAGTAGCAAAAGAGACAACCCAGCCGGCGAGTGAGACAAGCCAGCGAGTGAGACAGGCAGTAAGTTAGGAATTGTTAAAGCTCCCTTGAAAAGAAAATGATAGTAGCAACTAGCGCGCTAACTGCAGCTACTACCCGTGCCACGCCCCACTTTATTTGGAATTCGCAAGCTCCCACCTCCTAAAGTTGGTGCTCACCACCAGTATCCCCACACCACCGGAATACCCAGAATTTCGACTCCCCGACTTCAGCATCCCTATATCTTAACCAATTCACGATCTCGTCGATAGCCGAAATGGAAGCACGTGTACAAAACGCTCTTCGATATATTGAAAATTTTCCGGTGCTAAAGTCGCAACCGTAGCGCGAGAATTCGGTGTAACACGTGATCGATTGCGATACCGTCTTCAAGGCCGACCTCCTAAAACTGGCCAGCGAGCTAGAAATACGAGGCTTTCCGAACCAGAAGAGAAGGCCCTATGTCGCTATATCGATCGTTTGGATAATATAAACCTTGCGGTACGCGTCGAGTTCGTTACTGACGCGGCAAACTGTATCTTGCGCGAGCGGTCTAGCCAGCGCGACGCTCCTACCGTGGGGCCAAACTGGACTTCTCGCTTCTTAAAGCGTCACGGCTACTTCAAAAAGCGCCAAAAAAGGCTTCAAGCAGAGCGCCAAGTCTCCGAGAATCTTACACGAGTTAACCAGTATTTCCAGCATCTTCGGCAGGTTATCCAAGACAATGGTATACCTCCTGAGGATATCTGGAATATGGACGAGACTGGTTTTCGCATCGGGGTTGGAAAAGACCAGCTGATTGTGACAAAACGGAGGAGAGCTCATTATTTTGGCATTCCTGAGAATAGGGAATCCGCTACTGCGATCGAAGCTATCTCGGCGAATGGGGAGGTTGTTCCGGCTTTTTTGATACTCGCTGGCCAGATGCACATGGCTTCATGGTATCAAATACCTGAGCTAGATCCTGACACAGTTATTCGACCCACGCCTACTGGTTACTCAAACGACGTGATTAGTCTGGAGTGGCTCCAGCATTTTGACAAGCACTCGGAAAAAAGCTCAAGAAGCTCGAAGCGACTTCTAATTCTTGATGGTCATGGCTCTCACCATACCAGGCAGTTCATTGAATACTGCGACAACCACAATATTATTCCCTTCGGCATGCCGCCTAATCTCACGCATGCACTTCAGCCTTTGGACGTTGTCGTTTTCCAGCCCCTAAAGCACTATCACGCCAAGGCTTTAGATGTCATGGTTCGAGATGGCCTCGTCAACATAACCAAGCTTGAGTTTCTCTCCTGCATTCAACAAGTACGATTGCATGCTTTCAAGGAGAGTACTATACGCTCCGCATTTCGCAAGACAGGAATCTTCCCATTCAATCCACAAGTAGTACTTCAATGTTTGGAAGCTCGTCAAGCCACGACACCCACACCTCCTCCCAATTCAGGACCACACTCCTCACCTTTCGAGACACCATTGACTCTACGACAAATAAACAAGGTAGCGGACAAATTAGATCTCGTCCTTGAAGACGATAAAGCCTGGATCCCGACTTTTCTCACGATCTCAGTCGATTTATTCGAGGATCGCTATCTCTGGCGACTGAGCTCGTGCAGACTAAAAGGGACTTGGGACGAACCAAAATGGCGGAGCGGATCCAAAAACAACGTAAGGCTATGAAGAATATACAGTTACAATCAGGAGGAGTATTGTCAGTGGCCCAAGGACGGGAAATGGTGCAACAAAGGGAGATGATCAGATTGCTAAAGCAAGGAAGGTAGTAGAAGACGCGGAGAAAAGGCGCATAACGCACGCAAGCGATGGTTTGAGGAAGCAGCAAAAAAGGCACGCCAATGGAGGGGTTCAGGAAGGTTAGAACGAGTGGAAGTACGCGATTCTGAGCGTGGTACGCGGTGGTTGAAGCGATTCTAGGTCGGGGAGTCGAAATTCTGGGTATTCCGGTGGTGTGGGGATACTGGTGGTGAGCACCAACTTTAGGAGGTGGGAGCTTGCGAATTCCAAATAAAGTGGGGCGTGGCACGGGTAGCTTTTCTCTTAAACTACAGAGGAATTAATAGTTACGTAATTCCGAGTCTAATTATTTTAGCTTGATTTTCAAGCTACTTTTAACGTAATCCACCCCCTTCCCGGTCAGACCCCCTACTCGGTCAGAAAAAGTCTCCACGCGGCGACCCACACTTATGGCAAGACAAACCGAGCACTATGACGGCAACGGGAGACCAATCGGTTCCACGCGAAGAACGGGTCCTGCTCGCCGTCAGGGCCTATCAGCAGGGCCAATTCAAAAGTACCCGCAAGGCTGCGGCCGCATACGACGTCCCTCAATCGACAGTATCTGATCGACTGCGCGGTGTCATTCGCCGACGCGACGCTCAGATGAACAACCTGAAGTTGACGGCGACGGAAGAGACTGCCCTGGTACAATGGATCTTGTCGATGGACGAGCGAGGGATGCCGCCGACAGTGGCTTACACTCGTCGGATGGCCAACTTATTGCTTTCCGAGCGAGGCAAAGATCCTGTCGGGGAAAACTGGGTGCGGAAGTTTGTTGGCCGCCACGGCGAAATCAAGGCAAAGTACTCTCGCCGATACGACTACCAACGAGCCAAATGCGAAGACCCCCAAAAGATCCAAGGATGGTACGATCGAGTCGCGGCGACGAAACAGAAATGGGGGATTCTTGACGAGGATGTCTATAACTTTGATGAGACGGGGTTTCAAATGGGAGTCGCTGCAACGGCGAGAGTCCTTACCCGGTCTGACCGGCGAGGTCGGGCAGTACTCACGCAGCCTGGAAATCGAGAATGGGTTACTGTGATCGAGTCTATCAACTGCCAAGGTTGGGCTTTACCGGCGAAGGTTATCTTCCAGGGCAAGTTACACCAAGCAAGCTGGTACGAATCAGGAGTGCCCGATGACTGGCATATCGCCGTTAGTGAGAATGGCTGGACTTCCGACGACCTTGCTTTGAATTGGTTAAAGGAAGTCTTTGATCCGAATACACGGCGCCGTACGGTTGGTACGCATCGACTTCTTATTCTCGACGGGCACGGCAGTCACGTCACGCCGGAATTTGACAAGTACTGTACGGCCAATTCCATCGTAGTACTCCAAATGCCTGCACATTCCTCACATCTCTTGCAGCCTCTTGATGTCGGGTGCTTTTCGCCGTTGAAAACCATATACGGCCGAAAGGTTCAAGAGAAAATGCTCGCTGGGATCCATCATATCGACAAGCAGGACTTCCTTCCCATGTACTTAGACGCTCGCCGACAAGCACTTTCGCCGTCGAATATCCGAAGCGGATTTATGGCAACAGGCCTTTTTCCGTTTGACCCAAACAGAGTATTATCGCGGTTACAAGTTCAGGTTGACAAAGTCGGTAACGATCACGGCGACAAGAATACTCCAAGTCCCAACAAGAGCCTGGAAGCAGCCAAGACTCCGCATAACGTCAACCAGCTTACCACTCACGCCGAAAGGCTTCTTCAACGCCGGCCACAAAATACAGACTCGCCAGTTTCACAAGCTATCAACCAGCTTATCAAAGGATGTCAAATGGCCATGCACAGCGCCGCCCTCCTTGCCGACGAAAACCGGCAACTTCGGTCAGAAAACCAGCGGCGAAAGCAGAGAAAGAACAGCGCCGTGAATACATTGGCGACGGCGGTACTCTATCGGTTGCAGAGGGCACGGTTAGGATAAAGCAACGGAGAGAAGAAGAAGAAGAGCGGGTTAAGCGACGGAGAGTGGAAGAAGAGGAGAGGACTAAGCGCCGGCGAGAGAAGGACGAGGAGCGGGCCAAGCGACGACAAGAAGGAGAAGAGCGGGCCGAGCGACGGCGACAAGAGAACGAGGAATGGTTCAAGCTACGGCGAGAAAAGGAAGAGGAGCGGGTCAAGAAACAGAGAGCAAAGGAAGATGAGCGGGCCAAGCGACGGCGGGAAGAAGGGAGCGGGACCAACGACTTATAGAAGAGCTGAGTGTCCCAAGACAGCGTGCACCACCACGGTGTAGTAAGTGCAGGTCTTTTGAACACACTGCCCGTACGTGTAATAGATAGTCCTAATCGAGTTACTTGTCTCTTGGAGTAAATATGTCGTGGTATTGTGCTCCGTTTGTCTCGCGTAAGGTGCGGGTCTAGTCGGTGGGGAATTTTTGACCGAGTAGGGGGTCTGACCGGGAAGGGGGTGGATTACGTTAGACCCCCTAGTGGACCACCACTGTCGTGATATATATCAGCTAGTCGAGTTCCTATAATTTATAAAAAGTCCCCTCCCGCTTTCATCCACCTCAACCAGATTATGCTTGACCTAGACGTGGCAAACTTGGGTATATCGTCATCCCGCTGGCAGAGAATATTCAGAGATGGCTAGTGTCGCAGAGTCAGCCCTCACGAACCTCAAAGCAGCTGGTTTGGATCGTGCCCTCCTCACACCGAGCCAGGAATCCTACGATTCCCGAAATGCGTCGTACTTTTCGCGGACGGCGCAATTGAAGCCATGGGCCATTGTCCAGCCACGAAACGCGGAAGAGGTTTCCAAGACACTGAAAGCTCTAGTGAGAACGCCAGGCTGTAAGTTTGCCGTGCGTAGGTCAGTAAATGCACCTTCATTTCGTTAAATGAAGCGCCTGTCATCCATGACATCCGCCTAGATTATGGCTTCAGACTTAACCCTTGCAATTTGCTAACCACTAGTCGCATTGACTCGTGATCGTGTCACAGTGGCGGTCACATGCAATGGGCTGGCGCCAACAATATCCAGAACGGCATAACCATCGACCTCGGGCAAATGACCAAGACTACCTATAACCCGGAAACACAAATTGCATCGCTGCTTCCTGGAGGTACATGGGCGGACGCGTACAAAGAGCTGGAGAAGCGTATGTGATTGACAAAACCTAACAAGATCGAACCACACTAATAGAGGACTGATTTCAGATGACAGAATGGTCGCTGGTGGCCGTGAAGGTTCGGTTGGCATCGGCGGTTTGTTGGCTGGTGGCGGTAAAACCTTTTACACTTGCCGCACTGGCTTTGCCTGTGGTAAGTTATGAGTTAATACTCCTCGTCTCCCCTTGCTCTCTTGCAGATACGTGCACTGCGTTTGAGAACGAATAGCGTTACGATATTGCAATATAACCCTTAAGGGGCCACTATAGTGTCCACTACCGGGCCAGCATAGATTTTGAGCCTGAAAATTGACGCTGTCATTAGATCAGGTTGTCAACTACGAAATTGTTTTAGCGGATGGCACTATCGTCGAAGCCAATGACCAAATGAACTCAGACCTCTTTCGTGTTCTGAAGGGCGGAGGGAACAATTTCGGCATTATCACACGCTTTGATATGGTAACATTTCCATCAAAAGATATTTGGGACGGCAACATTTTGTGCGCCAAGGACTCCACGTCGCAGCTCGTTGAGTCGCTCGTGGATTTTATTAAAAATCTCGCTGAAAACCCCGACAGCCACGTCGTTGCGGTATGGACGTACTTACCGAAGACCGAAGATCACTTTATCAATATGTCCTTGACGAGCCTGGATGGCGAAAAGGAGACCCAGTCTTTGAACAAGTTCTTGGCAATTCCTGGTCAAAGAGACATGAAAATGACCACAGTAGCGACCAAAGTAGCGTCGTTCGCCTTGGATGTAGGCCTACCCGCAGGCAAAGAGTAAGTCGAGGTTTTACCCCGTTTTGTCCTCGATCTACATACCGGTTATACTCGGACGACAGCTAATTTTGCCAAACTGACAGAAATATATGGTTCTCTTTGACCTTCAAAGCCGACTCGCGCATCGTCCACAGAGCCGCAGAAGTTTTCGAGACCTCGGTCGGTAATTTAAAAGCGAAGATCCCGGGCCATGACTTCGTCTTTATGATGGTCCTACAACCGCTCCCTATGTCATTTGGGCTGCACTCGACGGCGCGTGGCGGCAACATGCTCGGGCTGGAACGCATCAAAAGCGATTGTTTCTTGCTGTTGTTTATACTCGAAGTGGAGACACCAGAACTCCGCACAACCGTTGGGTTTCCGACCCTCAAAAGGGCTACAGACGAAATCGAAGCCTTTGCCGAGTCGATCAGTGGCAATGTCCATTTTCGCTACTTGAACTATTGCGACGGCTCGCAAGACCCTTTACGCAGCTCCGGTGAGGACAATGTTAGGAAGATGCGTGCCGCTGCCGCGAAATACGACCCTACCGGGGTGTTCCAGACTCGAGTCCCTGGTGGCTTTAAGATCTCAGAGGTAAAATAAGAGGGTTTTTGTCACAGTTATATAGGGTCGAGCCACCCTATTATGTCTACTAGTTATAGCTATTAATTGCCTACTACTTATTAGAGCGCGCGTTCTAGTTTTAGTGCAATAGTTAAAGAGTATTACTATAAGTCTTACTATTTATATAGATAAAATTCTCTATTTATATAGAGTTATAGTTATAGAGCACCTAAACTTAAAGTTCCTTAAAGTTACTTTAAGGTACTACCTATACTTCCCCTAGCTGCCTTACCTACCTAGGTACCTACTAAGAAGGCCTCGATTATAAATAAGTATACCTAAGCACCCGAGCTAGTAAGGGAGGGTCCCCTTTAGGGAGGGGCCCTACTCTAGGGGTTTATCCCCCGCGTAAGGTAAGTGCGACGTATAAGATCGCGACTTTTAAGGGACTTAAAAAATATATAAGGTCGAGTACTAATTATTTTTTTATATTATTACTTATATATAGCCTCTAAGGCTATAGTAAGGCTAATAGGGGCCTAGGCCCTTATTAGTAGTCCTAGCTAGCTATAAAGCCTAGGGGCTTATAACTAATTAAGGAAGGGGCAGCTATAAAGGTAAAAATAAAGGAAAGGTTAGTTTAGTTCCTTTTACGTGGTGTTTTTCCCCTTTAAGGGCCCTAGGGCCCTTAGGTTACTCCCTTTTAAGCTACTTAGCCGTTCCTATTATTATAGAGTAAGTAAAGGCGTATATATAGGTGCTATCTATAAGATAATATTAATAAGCTATATAGAGCTCTTTTATACGCGGCTAGCCTATATATATATATATATAGGATCCGGCCCTTTATATATAACTATATAGCTTAGGCTATAGCTTAAGCCTATAACCTATAATTATTAAAGACTCTTATACCTATTTTTATTTTAGCTAATAAGGTTAAAAGGGCTTCCTTTCTTTTCTTAAAGCTATAAAGAAAAGGTAAGCTAAGGGCCTTCCTTTATCTCTTAAAGGTTTAGTAAAGGACCTTTCTTTCCCTCTTATAATTTAAGAACCTTAGGATAAGTAGTATACTTCTCGCGAAGAGAGATATAAGAAGTATATAAAATATATAAAGGTAAAATTAAAAGTAAGGGGTTAGATAAGTAGGGCAAAGATATTTAATTCTTATAGGGGTAGTAATTATAGTAGGGGAGTAATTATTATATTGCTTTAATTCTCCTTCTTTCCTCTATCTAACGCCCCTTTTTATACCCGTTTAGTATCTTAATTAATAAAGAAGATCCTACTTAAAGAAGCTACTAATATCCTTTTAAATACCGAGCTTTTTACTAGGTTTTCCCCTCTTTTCTAGCCGTTACCGGTATATCTATCTTATCTCTCGCTACCTCTATAGGAAGTTATTACTACTTTTACTTCCCCTTATATCCCTACCCTCTTCTCTATACCTCTTTTTAGCTCCTTCTTTTAAACCGGTTTTTTTAGCTTCCTCGGTCCCTATTACTAAGGGATATCTCTAAGAATATAAATTAAACTACGCTTTACGATATACCCCTTTAGCTATAGCCTACCCCTTAAGGGTAAAGCTAAATAATTAGGCCGGTAAGCGTATAGAGGAGGTCTTAGTTTATACTTATCCCTTACTTAAGAAATCTAGTTTTACTAGGCTTTTTTAGACCTAATTTAGGAAAAGGGGCCTAAGAAGGAATTAAGTCCTATAAGAAAGGGGGTATTCTCTAAGAATAAGTCTTTAAAAAGGGGGCCTTTAAGAAGAATAAGTCCTAATTAAGCTAAGGGCCCTCCTTTAAGATAAGTCCTAGTTCCTCTCTTCGGCTATAAACGTCTCCTTCCTTATATATACTATTAGCTCTTCTTATAGACTCTTAAGGCGGGTTTCTAAGGATAGCTTCTCTTAAACGTCTTCTAGCTTAATTTACTATAAAAAGATAGCTAGCTTTTACTTTAGTAAGGGCTTTTTAAGACCGTTAGCTTTTATCGTTACTATTAGAACTTAACGGACAGAAATAAGTCCCCTTTAAACCTCTTAGCGTAACTAATACTAGTAGATATTAATATACTATAGCTAGGTTAATAGCTTACTATTTTCCTCTATAAGAATTTATATAGTCTATATATTATCGTATTATATAGCTAATAGGGTTAGAATTTATAGTTATAGAGATATTTATAGCTAGCTAAGGAAAATCGCTTCTTTTAACGCTTTTAAAAGAGCTTATAGCTTTACCTCTATACTTAAAGTTATAATAGTAGCTTACTTTAAAGCTTTCTAAGTAATAGTTCCTTTAAAAAGGGATATAATATACCCTTATAAGCTCTTTCTATCTAAGGAATTATCTATAAAGAATAAATCGCTTAAATAAAGAAAGATTTTAGCAGCTAGTTTCCTTCCTTGCCCTCCTAAGTATAGACTATATAATCTCGTTAAATAGAGATAAAAGATAGCTATATCTACTACTTCTTAGTACTTAGGGCTAGGATTCTAGTTATACCTAGCTAGCTAGGAGACCGTAAAAGAGATATCCGGTTTAGTAAAGATAGCTAGAAAAAGCAAGGAGCCTACCTTTTATTAATATATATATTTCTCTTACTCCCTAGCTTAAAAGGACGGATTAAGTAAAAGCTCTTTATTTAATATAGGCGTAGAGGAAAGCTTCTTATTAAGGAAATTAAGGAGGAATTTATAAGTAACCTTATTAATATAAGCGTCCTAGGTAAGCTAGATAGTCTATTAGGACCTATTTTAAAGGATTCGAATCCCTAGGAACTACTTTAGCTTCCCTAGCCTATTTATCTTATACCTTTATTATAGGCCTTTTATAGCCTCCCTAATAGTTACTTCTTCCTCTTTTAAGTAGGCCTAGATAATATTATCGATATAAAAGAAGACCGTGATTTTATCCTTCTATATTATATATAGTTCCTAAGGGACTTTCTTAAAGCCTAGGGCTTTAAGGGAACCTATTAAATACTATTACTAAAGAAGGGGTAATCTTTATAGTCTATATAAAGCTTTCCTAAGCTATAAAACCTTTCCTAGCTATTAAAAGCTTAGTAGAAGGCGTATATAAATAACTTCTTCTTCCTTAAAGGGGTAGTTAATAAAGGCGTTAATAGTATTTATTTAGTTTAGTTCGAGGTCGAATTCTACTACTATAGCTATAAGGGTCTAAAAAGATATTCTTACTAAGGTAGTTACCTTAGTAGGAAGATCCCCCTTTTCTTACTAGTTCCTATAAATAACTAGCTAGGCTTTATACTTTTAAAGGAAGCTATATTTATTAGTCTTATAGATAAAGACCTACTTATAGCTAAGGACCTATTTTCCTTTTACCTTTTCCTTAAGGACCTCTTTAAAAGACCCTATCTCTTTATATAAGGCTAAGTAGTCTTTCTAGGCCTAGAAAAACTAGTCTTTAAAAGGGTAACCTTATAGCTACGTTTACGTTACTAATAGGTCTAGGAGGTCTCTTTTATATACCTTCCTTACTAATAAAGGCTTAAAAGGCTAGCTTACTATAGAGGCTCTATAAGAACCGTCTTTTATATATATAGGATAGAAGTTAGAAAAATAATCGAAATAAAAAAAAGATTAGTCTTTTTTTATATTAAGCCCTAAACCTTCCTTTACTTCTTAAAGTAGGGATAAAAAGGCAGCTAGGTAATCCTTTAAGAGAGGAGGTACCTTTCCTACCCCCTTAAGGGTTAAAATAAGAAGACTAATAAAAAAGCTACTTTTAAATATTCTTTTTATTCTATAAGAGGAAGTATAAGAAGGTAGGTATATTCTAGCTCTATTACTTTCCTATAGTCTCTTTCTTTGTTTAGATTATTTAATTTAATAGCTTTCTTTTTTTCTTTTTTTCTTTTAAGTTAATATTATCCTTAACTACTTTAACGTTAGTTTCTTCTTTTATTTCCTTATCTAGGACCTCTTCTTAAGCCTATTAAGAAGGGGAGATTTAGATCTTTTAAATTAGCTAATATTAAGAGAGTAAAATAGGCTATTAATCCCTCTTTCTATTAAAGAAGCTAGATTTATCGAAAATTACGTCCTTAGTTAAAATAACCTTTTATAAAAGAGGAATCTAAATATAAAAGATATTCGTAGAATTATAGCTAATAAAGTATTTAATAAAGGCTTTAAGATTAAGCTTTCTTTTCTTCTTTCTTTTTAGCTATATATTAATAGTTATAGTAAATGCCTTATAGCTATAAGTATTAAGGTAAGCTAGTAAGGCCCTTTTCTTTATAAAGAGCTTAAGGGGTCTTTATAAAGAGCTTAAGGGAGGATTTCTAGTTTATTCCTTAGGTAGTCCTTATAAGGTTCTAAGGGTCCTTAAGGGTTTAGTTTTATAAGTAATAAGCGGTTTTAATAACTTCCCTTTAATAGTTATAGGGAAGCCTTATAATAAGTCTTATTATATAGGCTCTTTTTATTATAGTACCCCTTAATCCTTTTACCCCTTTGTTTTAGGCCTAGGTATTTAATACTAATAGGAAGGGTAAAATACCCCTTTTTTAAAGCTAATTTAATATATCCTTTATAAATAGCTCTTTATTAAAATATATCTTCTTAACCTTATAGCTAAAGTAGGATTTTATTTAGTTAATAAAGTCTTAGAGGGTAGGACCTAATTATAATATAAAAAGAAGGAAAGCTAGCTAGGAGCCCTTATAGGCCTTAGAGCCTAAGGCCTTTATTATAATAATAAAGGCCCTTAAGCTTTTAGCTAAGAAGTAGTACTAACGCCTCTTAGCTAGCCTAGCTAGATTAAAAGACTTTAAGCTATAGCCCCTAGCCTTTTATACTAATAGCTCTAAGGGGTGCCTTAAAGGGTCCCTTATAGAAACTAACCCTTACTCTTTCTATAAAATAAGCCTAGAAAATAAGCTTATTAAGGCGTACTATAAGAACCTAGGGCCCTTAATCGAGGTAGCTAATATAGAGCTATTCGCGATATTAAGGGTCCTAAAAGACTTAGCTAAGAAGCCTTAGTACTTAAAGCTTAGCCCCCTTA